CGCAGGCTGAATCTATTCTCTTTCTGTTCTGCTCACATAGTTGCTTTGGAAAGATGAGACTTTCTTTTGCGGAATTACAGCCTGCACCAGCATTTAAAAGCAAACTTTTTGCATTGCTACAGGGGCAGTGAGTCACCCTTCGTGAAGGGCTTCCGACTGTCTGTTGAAGTTCAGAAAACTCGTTTTAGGTTTGTATACCGCGACGCGAATCATTATTTCAAATGCAATCCACCTATCGGAGATAATATCTCTATGAGTTGTCACGCTGAAATTTCTAATCCATCTACAGAAAGACGATTCAAATTGAAAATAGCTGTCAGTGATACCTTTGGGGTGGCTAAAGACTTGATTACTTCAGCTTCGTACTCAGACATGACCTCTTTGAAGAGCACTGCGAGAGGCTCCAACCTGAGAATCTCGACCTTGATGGGAGCAAGTCGGAGGAATGGCTTGTCCATCTAGAATGGAACGCTGACATTGAAAATTTAGAGGATGGCGTTGTTTTCAGCAATTAAATGGTTACCTTATAGTAGCAGTAGAGTTCTTTCTCCTCCTCTGGTGGAATAGGTGGAGCCTCACCACGGCACAGTGCTTCGTAAGCATCACGTTCAACGATTCCGTCGTTCTCTACTCGCTAAAACTTATTCGTAAACATGCGCTTCATATTGGAAAGTGTGAACTATCAAGTAGAACTTACCTTGTTGACGATTGGTGGCAGATCGCCTTCCATATCCTTTCCTTCTAGCATGTCCTCGTACCATTTCACATTGCCTAAACGAATGAATTACTCATACAGTAATTTGGACGCCAAGCCATAGCAGCTCGGTTGCTCGCTAATAAGATAAGCTCAAGGGAAAATCTCGCGAATGTATACTATGGATAGTGCTGCTCAATTACAATTCAATAACCGCTAAATAACCAGGGACGAGAAACGTTAAAAAAACCATGGAGAACCCCCCCCTCATTACAGAAAGACGTGGTAGTCTTTCGGACGACGAGTTTCCGGATCTGCTCGTTGAAGACCAGGAAGGCTATATCCTGCCACCTCTAGCTCAATGATGGTTTCTCCACATGGAAATGGAAAAGGAAAATCGGATAATCGAAGAAAATGGAGAATCTGGACGTTGTGGCAAGCCATAAAGCGGCGTCCTCCACTGTTCAGATTGAGAAGTTCGCCAGCAGACTAAAGAATTGTGAATGTAGTTTCACGACGTATTCCTTGCCGTGCAAGTCCAGCATCTTCTTCTACGACAATGATCCATTTTCCTGTGCACGAGAGCTAACCCGCATCTGAGTGGTCCCAGAGATATTCACCCTAAGACTGCTGAGCAGTCTTCAGGTCGCATTTGTGTGTATGCTTTGAGTGCAAGAAAATCCAAGGAAAGGCCAACACATCATCGACCAGCAGATTGACATGAGGACATCATCACCCAATCAGCTTTCCAACCTGGCACTTAGTATCGTTGCAATCAGTCGGGGCGATGTCAAGAGGCATGGAATGAGCCCCCCCCTCGGCGTTTCCACCACTGGTTGCTTTCTTCCTAAACCGATCGCTAAGCGACCACTATTGGTAGAAGGGCAGTCGGAGAGGGCTCACCCCGCTCCTCCTGACACCGCCCCAACTGACCGCGACGATATTTCCAAATTAAGAATAAATCCACTTTGAGGAACAATTTCCTTTGTTCCGTTCATCATACTTACTTTATCGCATTAGGAAACTTCCAAATTTCATTGATCCGTATCAGGAATTAAGGCTATGCAACTGAGATATCCTGAGAGTAAGGATTACGCTCAGCCACGCATGTATGTACATGCCATGTGTTGTCGAAAACTTTAACTCTGAATTAGCTGGCCTCCGCATTAAAGGGCCACGGAGACGAGAATTCAAGACAAATTCTATAGTCGTTGCTATTTGACGTCTAACGCGCGAAATTGAAGGATTTCACACGATAACAGCAAAGAAGTGGAGGGGTTGTAGCGCTTTAAAATCTATGCTGCAGATCGCAGAATGGAAAATGGTGGACAAGATTTGCTCAATGAATGATGAAAGTGATAAACGAAGTTGCAGAATTACTGGCAGGGAAACTCGCTCATATACGTAACGTATCTATTGACAGAAAGATTTCTGGGTCCATGAAGTGCTGTAGTGCAGCGACATGATAAAAGGAATAAGGTTGATAACCAACCTCTGGCTCGTGGATGGTTCGGAGCAATTGCTGCTAGTCTCTTTGTTAACGCGAGAGCTCGACGGACGTTGCCTTGTTGGTAGAGAGCATACGCGAGATATTCTAATACCTCCTCTTCCTCAATCGTTTTCGGATTCTCATGCTCGAGCTGAAAGCATGGAACTGACTGAGTCTCGAGCGATAGCTTGAATTAGAGGTAACAGAGCCTTAAAAAGTGTCGCAGAAGAGATGCGCTACCAACCAACCAATTTTATCACCCCACTAGTCAGGCACTTGCCGTGGCAAGGAGCAACAGCTCGCTCTTCCGTAACAGAGCCTTTCAAAATATCACACTGCGCTAAATTCATGAAACAGTCTGTTCAAAGCGTAAGGGAAAGTGGCGCTCTAACACTAGAAGTTCGTTTGCATGGAGCACTGAATGTTTTACGCGATGACGTGAGCTGTATCGTACTCTCTTATCCCTGAGACGGAGTAGGCGTGGCATTTAAAGATGGCAGAGAATGGGTTGCTCGTGAGATGTTTCAACCCGGGGCAACTGTCATCTTGTTCAATGTTGGGCAGAGGCATGACCACAAGTGTGTCCGAATGAAAATATCTCTCCAGTAGCACAGCCACCGCTACGTCTAGTTGAAGTACGCAGCTACGCATACCGCATCTCGGTGATTTCGAGTGTACAGTCGTCATCCGGGCAATTGATCAGAGGTCGTCAGAGGGATTGGTCGTCGAAGGGTTGCAGACGCGGCTGCAGCAACGACTGCGTACGTAGGATCTGTTGGCGGCGATCAGCTTTTTCGGCCTGGTTCAGTCATTTGCATGTGCGTAAATGTGCGCATTGATCACCATAGAACATTCACGCATAACTTGGAGCTAAGGAGGACGTGGTAGCGTTTTTCATATGGCTTCATTACGGTATATTGCCTGTTAAAGCGACTGCAGTTGAGCTTTGGCTGCACAAGACAGGATGCCGGCTGTACAAACCCACGAAAAACGCAGCCTACGCTATGTTCATGCGACCTACGCAGCCATGCTCTCCGATCTCCTTTATTCATCCTTCACCAATTACTACTGGGGAAAAAGAAGCGGTTCGGCCTGATGGGGCAAATTTTAATCCCCTTTCCTGTCGATCACTCTTGATGCCTCCCGTGAACACCCGTGAATTCTTGTCAAGCCATGCAAAAGCAGGGGCTCTCTTTGCACCTGACAAGTCTCACCAATGTGTGACGTGTGATTCAACAGGGACTAGCTATGGTGCAAAATGCTCCTCCCATCGCCAAAAAAACAGCGCCAAAAAAACGAAAAAATGCCATACCCAGCTTCGCGCTGTGCTCTCATACTATATTCGTCACCCATCGGGTGGGAAGAGAAGAAAGACAATCATTTGGCGCGCATCTCCTAGAAGGCCAAGGGCATGCGTGAGAAGCGCACAAAGACTCTCCGCTTGCGCACCCGCTGTTAACACCGCATTTGCCTTTCAAGTGAAGCATAACACTTCGTGGCGTCTTAGCGAACCACTTTTTGACTGCAGGGGCTGGTTCAACCACTACCTGACTGGCTTGTTATCTCTAACCATAAGTGTATGCGGATGGAAACCAAATAAATGTCAGCCGAAGCACAAGTCGTTATGTGGGATCTACTGCAAACTCTAGCGCTGTTAATTGAATCTAAGGGGCATCACGGATGACTCGGCTGATGAAGAGGATACGATCATTCGTCTCTACAAGAGAACGCTCACCCGATTCATTGCTGTCTGCATCCAAGTCAAGGTATGGTAGTAGTCGCGCTGATTGTAAGCAGCTCGTCCAACCTGAAAAAAAAGAAATAAATTTTTTGAAAAATTGTTCTCCCGTGAGAGTTATTTCCCTTGTTAGCGTAACAATTTTAATTGAGCACTGTTCCTGAGTTATATTCCTCCGTAAATGTTACTATTACCGAGTAACCACGACTTTAGGTAAGTAGTAGTACTTAAAAGGCACGGTTCGCGATAAATTAAGGCTAAAACCTCTGGATTGTGCAGGGTGAACAGGTAGGCACCCGCAGAGGCTGTACTGTACAAAAAAGTCGAAAACTAGCAACCAGGAAGCAAAACGCATCGATTTTAGGCCCATTGGCACCCAATAGGCCCATGCCGGCCTGCGTCGAACGTGTCATAGTGAAGATGCCACTGTGCTCTCTCACCGGCCGTTTTCTGGTCCCTCTCCTCTCCAGTCACTGTATCGTCGCCTTTTGCAGACCACAATTGATCTTGATCATCTTATGCTCGTCCGGTGATCACGACAATAGCAATAAAGAGGGTCTTATTGCGGGCGGTTTTCGAGCTTCCCTCTTCTTGAGTAAGTCAACAAGCACACGGCAATTCTTTTTTTGAACTGTATCACCTATGAAGTGTGGTCGCGGGAATTGCCTTTAAAGTAGTACTTTGGTAGCTAGTTAAAGAGTCACGTATGGGACTTTCATGACCTCAGATTTTCTTTAAAGGCAGTCGGCACGATAAATCCCTAAAGACAGAGTAGGAGTAATATGCATGGCAGGACGGAATTCCAAGACCCTGGGCAGCGCTGCGCCCTTTCCAAGGAAGGTGCCCTTATAAGGGCCCTATCAAGCTACAACATACCGACCCGAACGCCCACGCCGCCCGCCCACAAATGGACGACCGTTCCTGACGCTCGTATTGATTCATTTGCTAAGCAAATTATGAAGCGAAGGGATTGGTATGAAGCGGCGGCGGTGCTGCATGGATATATGAGTACACATGCAGCCGTATCTTCGGTAGCGGTCATTGGCAAGATGCCTATGGGAAACTCCGAAATTGATTTTTAAGTCATTGAGAACGGAGGCTTTTTCTTCGCACGATTTTGACTTTGCTCCGTTCTTTCGCCATTTTCCACTTCATACGCTCTGCTAGCATTTCAGGCCGAGTACCAAATTATCGTGCTAACTGCCTTTAATGGTACTCTACTTGTTTCGAATTGCTTACCTCGAATGCATCATGAGCTGTGAGCGTGTGAGCGACTTTATCGCCAAGAATAACGCCATTTGAGAGGTCTGTGGTGTCAAGACGGTAGACATCTTGCAATCGAAGAATGGCTGTTGCTGCTCCAGACAAATCCTCCTCTTGGGGGAATTTCACCTGGAAATCATCACTAATAGGGATGCTGATAACCTTGGCGAGGGGTCGTTTTGAATGTCTCTCCATGCAAAATAGGATTACTCCAATGAAGGCTGTATCATTTCTAGTTCACCTTCTCGGGATCTCATACCCCTTGAGGCTCCTGTAAAAGTCTACGACTCTGTTACGGTTACACAAGTTTGCACTAGGAGTCCTTTAAACGCCCCCCCCCTAAGTTAGTGGTGCCGTAATGGGTTTCGCTGCCTTGCTTTCGACAACCCTCAACACGCAAATGATTAATGTTGGCGTTCATCCGCGTCTATTAAACCCTATCAATGGGATCTGTTGGAACAACCAGCTGTAAACAGCTGTCGGATGGATCGACTCGATTCGATCGAGAGACTACGCCTGAAAAAAGCCTCTTAAGAACTCACCTGACTCCGAATACGATTCTCCGTGATGTTTTTTATGAAAGTGTCGGCTTTGTTGGTTCGCACTCATTGACCGAGTAACCATGATCTCAGATTTTCTTCTAAAAGCAGTCTAAATCCCTAAAGACGAGTGCGATTATATGCCATGGCAGCGACGGGAAAAAAAAAAAAAGAAATCCGAGGGCCCTGGGCAGGCCGCTGCGTCCTTCCAAGAAAGGTGCTAAGGGCCCTATACAAACTACAACTATTCGACCCGTTACGCAAAATGGACGTCCGTCCCGACGCTCGTATGATTGTTTGTGAAGCAATTATGAAGTGAAGAAATTCGTATCGAAGGGTGCCGCGCATCAGTATATGCAGTATATATGCAGCCGCACTCTTCGTAGCGATTCATTGGCAAAAAACCTATGCGGAAAACTTCGAAGATTTTGATTTTTAAGTCATGAGAACGGAGGCTTTTTCTTCGCACGATTTTGACTTTGCTCCGTTCTTTCGCCATTTTCCACTTCATACGCTCTGCTAGCATTTCAGGCCGAGTACCAAATTATCGTGCTAAACTGCCTTAATGGTACTCTACTTGTTTCGAATTGCTTACCTCAAATGCATCATGAGCTGTGAGCGTGTGAGCGACTTTATCGCCAAGAATAACGCCATTTGAGAGGTCTGTGGTGTCGAGACGGTAGACATCTTGCAATCGAAGAATGGCTGTTGCTGCTCCAGACAAATCCTCCTCTTGGGGGAATTTCACCTGAAATCATCACTAATAGGAATGCTAACAACCTTGGGTGAGGCGGGCTGCGTCGCAAGGTTTTCCATATAAAACTGGATTACTCCAATGAAGGTTGGATTACCTTCTCGGGAGCACATACCCATTGAGGCTTCGGCAAAAGTTTTCGACGCTGCCACGGTTACACAATTTTGCACTAGGAGTCCTTTAAACGCCCCCCCCCCTAAGTTAGTGGTGCCGTAATGGGTTTCGCTGCCTTGCTTTCGACAACCCTCAACACGCAAATGATTAATGTTGGCGTTCATCCGCGTCTATTAAACCCTATCAATGGGATCTGTTGGAACAACCAGCTGTAAACAGCTGTCGGATGGATCGACTCGATTCGATCGAGAGACTACGCCTGAAAAAAGCCTCTTAAGAACTCACCTGACTCCGAATACGATTCTCCGTGATGTTTTTTATGAAAGTGTCGGCTTTGTTGGTTCGCATAATGTCCTCGACCTGCAAAGTTCCTATTCTAGGGAACTCCTTGTATAATGAGGAATGCGTTGGAAGGAAATGTCACCTCAAACAGGTTGTGTCAGACTTACCTTTTTCCACTCGGTGGTCAGCCGCTTGATGAGAAGATAGGCGTTGATTGGGTTTGTAACGAAATCCGGACCAACATCCTCGGCGTCCTTATTGCGATCGATGTACTCATCAGCGAATCTTAAGATAGAGAAACTTTTCAAGCCTTTTCCAAAGAGGAGGGCAAAGCGATTTGCATAAGTCAGTGCAAATCTGGAAGATTAGGGGACCAGAATCACAGAAGTAAATTGCCCTTCGGCTTTTGAGCACGTATAGCATCGTATGCATCATGTTTAGGACCTTAGGTCGTACAACATCTATAGTAGCATTTATAAATGTTACTTTAGGTCCTAATCTTCACGCATGATCACAGTGGCACATGCGCTAGACTCGGTACCACAGCTGGGCTATCCTTGAAAAACAACAAAAGATAGACTTCGCGAATTCATTCGGAATCGATGAGGGCTTTTCTTCTTCAAAGAAATACAGCCGCGGAAAGAAATTGGAACAAGCCCAAGCGCGCTTTTTTTAATAGTTTTGCCAACAATTTTCAAATTGTACGTGGAAACCTTGTTCGTTCAAATCAAGTATAAGAAAGCTATTTAAAAAATAGGGTTGGTTGGTTGGTTGGTTGGAGTCATTTCGGGACAGAATTCCGAAGATAACTGCGATGGGGCCTACCGCTGCACTTTGAAGTGAATGCGAGGTTTTTAATGCTTTTGAAGTTTCTAATGCTTGGAGAAGAACATAGGTTTCTTGAGAGTTGTAAGAAAAGTAAAGGAAGAAGGGAGCGAATTTTCAAACAGGTGTGTTCCTTCTTCTAATGGGCCAAGTGGGACTAAGAATGACAGCTAACCATGTCACGTACGCTGCGGAAGATCTTGGCACTGTGAGGGTTGGTGGGAAGCAATACTGTATCAAAAAGCTCGAAGATGAAAGCTTTTAGTTCTCAGAATCACTTTGCCAGGATCTGCACGCCTTTCACTTCTATTTAGAGTCGTGGTGGCTTTTGCATGTGAACTGGTCTATGCAATGCACTGGGGGGGGGGGGGGGAGGTGCCGATGTAG